ATCCCTCCTGCTGCCAAGTCTGCACTTGTGACACCCATTAAAGGGAGACCCTTAGCAAAGACAGAAAGAAACTGCATCATTTCCACCATCTTGGCTTTACCTAAGGAATCAAAGCCAAATGATGGAAATCTTCTGTAAGGAGTGGTCAGTGGTTAAGACTTCAATTATATTCCCTCCCCAGTCCTAACAGTAATATTGCGAACAACAAATTCATGTAACCCACACGTTCACACCTCTCCTGTCTGAGAAGAACAAACTTCTAATCCATGACCTTAAGATTTAACCTGAACTACCTGGAGAAGGTGGTGTTTCAGGTTCCCCCCAAAAACGAAGTAAAAATAAATGAATCTTAAAAAGAATGCAAACAATTGTTCTTCCCAAGAGTTTTGATTATTAACCTGTCAGGTAAGTTTTATTATTTTTTTCTAATTACACATTTCCTTCAATTTTTGATTTATCTGTTGACATTTCAAAGCTAAGATGAAATATTTTATTTTTTTAAGACTATTTTTATTGGAAAGGCAGATTTATAGAAAGGAGAGCCAAAAAGAAAGATCTTCTGCTGGTTCACTCCCCAGATGGCTGCACCCGCCAGATCTTGGTCTATCTGAAGCCAGGAGCCAGGTGCTTTTTCTGGGTTTCACACTCAGGTCCAGGGTCCCTAGCATCTTCCACTGCTTTTCAGGCCACAAACAAGGAGCTAGATGGGAAGTGGAGCAGCTAAGATGTGAACCAGTGCCCACATGGGATCCTGGAGTTTCCAAGGTGAAGATTAATCAACTGAGCCATTGCAGGCGGCCCTAAGATGAAATATTTCTTGGTGGGTCTTACCCTTTCTCAGAAGCTGCCAAGGCGGCAGTGGAGCCCGAGTTTACAGTCAGAAAGAGCCTTCCCCTCTGCCTTGTATTATTTCTTTATTTCTTCCTACACTCAATATTGAGAAAGAGTCGTTCTGCATGCTGAAGGATGTGAATGTGGCTCGAGACTGAATATTTGCTTACCATCTACAAATGGAAAGCAAAAGCGCATGACCATACCCTCAATGTGAAAACTGTCCCCGAGCTACAAAGATGTGGCAACCTGGCTGTGCCCAGTTCCTGGTGAGGATGTGAGAAAGTGTTGGTTATTTCAGGGCAGGATGGAAGGTTTTCCTCGAAGACCACAGCAAAGAGCCCAATATATTTTTTTTGTTCCTGTAAGTCATTCTTCGAGGCATTAATACAATGGTTTTAATTTAGTTCGATAATATGAACTGAGTGTGATCCTTCATGCAAGAGAATCCACTGCATAGAACAAAAACACTGTTGTCGGGGGAGGTGTGTTGGTTCCTTTCGTCCTGGTCCCAGGTTCCTGAAGGTGTGGGGATTGTCCAGCGAACGTCCCCTGCCTCCTTAAGCTCACCGCAACAACTGTGCCTACTCCTACTCTACTTTCCCTACAGCAAATTGGGTTGGAAAATTCTTTTCCATTTCTTCCCCAAAACTACCGCACCATCAAAGTCAGGTAATTTCCTGTGAGTGAATCCCCAAATTTGCATTTCTAAATTTTAGTTCTCAGTTTTATTCTGTTTGCCTTTTTCTGACTCAGCACCGATCTCTCCCTGTCAGACTCCCTTCCACCTCCTCCCACTCACCTGTCCCACACAAACCGGTTAATTGCTTCGTACGTTTGTGATCTATGGAAAGGGCTACCTGGGGACATTTGAACACAGGTTTCTTAGAAACTGAGAATCACTGGAAGTCCTAAACATCACAGGCTTCTCCGGGTGGAAGCGAACCTGTCCCCTAATGGTTCTTATAAGGCATGTGGTTCCATCAGGGAGGGTTTTCTGAGTCCCAAGTAAGATCTTCGGCTTTGAGCTAGAAAATCCTGAATAAGCACGAGAAGAGGCCACTTGGCCCTCATCTGTATTCCATTTGTGCGCGCAGCGGTTGGTGGAGGTGCGGAGTGGGGCTAAGCGGAGCAGTGGATTCTCTCCCGAGCGTGTGCTTAGAGCGCCATCTAGTGACCGGTGTTTACAGAACGGAAGAAACCCAGGGATTCCGGGGAAATATACAGCTCAGTGCGGGTAACTTTCTGAGGTCAATTGCAGATGGCTCAAGTGACTGTATTTCTACTTTCCCAGTGCCAGGTGGCAAGTACTGTCCACATCGTTGAGATGCTTGTGAAAGCCATGAGACATTGGAGAAAAAAAGAAAAGACCTAAGGACATATTGAGTAAAGCACAGCTACACAATTATTCCAGAAAGTAGAACTCTAAAAGTGTAAGTGCTCTGATTGAGCAAATGAGAGAAACTGCTATGAACAAGAGAAATGCAAAAGGGAATAGGAGGAAAAGAAATAAAGGAGTGGGAAGAAAATGTAAGGGAAGGGTAGGATAACTTCCTGGTTGTAGATAGTTCTAAACCAGGCTTTAATTCTGTGAGCCACCACCCCTCCCCGCCACTTTGTGTGATAATAGGTCATTTGTTTAAACTCACTAAAGCTAAGTTTTTTCACTTATGAAATTGGGATCCCCTACCCAACAATTCTTCCTGCCTAAGAACTCTGTGAGGGTTAAGAATATATAGGTATATATACATATATATGAAATTCATATATATATGAAAGTGCCAGGCTCAGAACATCACATAAAAATGCTCCATAAATGATAGCTTTTATTAATAGAAAGAAGATGAAAGAAAGAATAATGTCAAAAAGGGAGTGTGTACTAGTAAGTAAACAGGAAATTATATCCAGGACTGCCCAACTTAGCAAGAAGCTCTTGGCCAACTAACATGTGAGTTCCATGAAAGCTGAAATCTCTGACTGTGGCCCACAGAATGTCTGCTTGAAGTTCACGCCCATTGCTGTGTGGGCAGGTGTCGGGCAGCACAGGCAGACCTTCCTTCTCGTCATTGGAGGCTGTGCGGGCAACTCCACTACAGGACTTCCCCATTTCAATGCTCAGACTTTACACGAAGGAAATGCAAACATGAGCAGGGGAGATGGAGGCTGATCATGGAGTAGCTACTGGGAGTAAGTTCTGAGATAAATCATTAGCATGGCCTAATGAGGTTTCCTGGACTGTTGATGACAGTTAACATTGACCTTGGAAAGACTGGGAGACATATCTACCCAACCTGAGGCCCCTTCACTTCCCATTGAAAGTTGAAGCATCACTACAGATTCAGGAAGTGGCAGCACAGCACTGTCTGTGTAAGACCTGTCTGAAGTCTCCAGGCACCAGAGCCCTGGAGAGAAAAACACTGAAACACACATACGCACACCCTTCACGCCCTGCGTGGTTGATGCTCTTGTTCCACCAACGCAGGCAGAGCAATGAAGTCAGACATCACAATGCGTGTTCTTTGATCGCAATCTCAGGGCCGCAGCCGTAGCCTGCGTGCCTAACCTTTGACTAGCTTCCTTCCACGCCAAGAAAGTGGGACCCAGCACACAGTAATGTGATTCCCCAGTTAGCATGAAGTAAAAACAACCCACTCATGTTTTCCATGAGCGTTTCCAACTTCAAACTGAAAGCATGAAGCAGGGAGAGAGGTACAGATACACACATGGGAGGACAAACACAAGCATCGTCTGTGTGTGCAGCTGAGGACACTGACCCAAATGAGAATCCATCTCTAAGGCAACCAAGCAGCGAGATGCAAAAATCTGAGAATTTCTTTTCTGGAGTGCAGTGTGAAAACAAGCAGTGAGGGGTAGTCCCCTGCTTATGTGGCATGGAAGGGGTTAAGTCCCCAGTCATCTATTCTGAAGTGATTTATGATGATGTGTGGAGTTTCAAAACTTTCTCCCACCCCAGGACCAGCCTCCTCCCTCCCCACTGAGCCGCTCCATACATGCTGAAATGGGAAGGAGGCGGGGTTTTGCTGATCTGTTAAATTCTTCGTGGAGTTTCCTTGATTTCCAGTGGCTTCTGTTGCTTGAATTTGGTGTGGAGCAAAGCAGAGGGAGTCCTGACATTTCTGGGACCAAATCCAGACAAGAGAAAGAAGTGGCCGAAGGAACAGGAAACGAGAAAATAAGTTGGGGAGGAATAAAAGGAGAGAAGCAGGAGGCAAATTAAAAAAAAAAAAAAGTCCTTTTCAACATCACATTCCTGTGTTTTCCCTGAGCCTGGAAAACATATTAATCCTGGCGCTTTTTACATCCGGAAACAAAGAGACTAAGCCAGACTGTGGGGGAAAGGGTGATAAGAAGGCTCCGGGGACTCCAAAGAGGGACCTTGGGCAGGCTGTGCTGTCGGCACAAGGGAGCAGCAGGCACAGGCGCCCAAGACCACCGAGAAACTGCAGACAAATGGAGGCTCAGAGACTTAACAGGACGGCTCGATTCATCTCATCCTACTTGTCCAGAAGGTAAAAGCCACAGCTGGAGCCAACAGGACTGTGCTCAACTGTCAGCCCCGGACAGGCTGTGCCATCGGCGGTGGTGCTGGAAAGCTGGGGCTGCGGGCAGCACGCCCCAGAGAGAGCCGAGAGAGGCTTGGGACAAGCCTCGCCTGCAGGAAACTGTCCCGGGAACCAAACTGCAGATTTCTTTGCAAACACTCTGCCTCCCCCCTCCATGAGCCAGCATGTAAGTGTGCAACCCTTTGTGTCTTTGGTGTGCTTCTTTTGCTGCTGATTTGAAGGAATGCGTGTGAATGTTGCCATAATTAATGTGCTCGGTTTGCATTTTTCCGGGAGCATCTAGCGTTCAACAGTACAAGTGTGGCCGACTGGGGAGCTGACTTGGGTTTCCTGCTTAATGTTACTGTCTCTGCTGAACACTTGACAGATCACAGGAGTTTAAAAGCAACAGGATCCCATCCTAGTTTCCATTCCCTGACTGCCCCTCTCTAACCACTCCTTCCTGGTCCCCTGGGCCAAGATAGGGAAAGAGATAGGCATCAGCTCTGTTTGCAATTAAATGATTGTCTTTCTTCTCTTTTTCTTCTCCTCTCCCTTTTCTGTTTGATGACCCGACTGCACTCTTAAGTTTAAGTGCATTACACAATGACGTGGAGAATGGGACCCCGTTTCACCATGCTGCTGGCGATGTGGCTGGTGTGTGGATCAGAGCCCCACCCCCACACCACACACCGAGGCAGCCCCGGAGGGCGGAAGGGGCCCTTGGTCTCTCCGGTCAGCAGCAGGCCAGCTCGGTTTCTGAGGCACGTGGGGAGGTCTCATGGAACTGAGAGAGCCTCTCTGGAAGAGACAAACCTGCGGCCTCTGCAAAGCAGGAGGAGCGTGCCCGTGTTGAGACTAGCCCGCCCCAGGGCATTGCCAGCTCCCGAGGGCAGCCCCGTGGCCCCGGTGAGACCCGAGCTGGAACCAGCGGCCAGGAGCTCTTCCCGTGACATGGTCCGGGATGAGGGGTCCTCTACTCGGTCAAGGATGCTACGCGTCCCCTCTGGGTCCGGCTCGCCCAACATCCTGGCCAGCTTTGCGGGCAAGAGCCGGGTGTGGGTTATCTCGGCGCCCCACGCCTCAGAAGGCTACTACCGCCTCATGATGAGCCTGCTGAAGGACGACGTGTACTGCGAGCTGGCCGAAAGGCACATCCACCAGATCGTGCTTTTCCACCAGGCGGGCGAAGAGGCGGGTAAGGTGCGCAGGATCACCAGCGAGGGCCGCGTCCTGGAGCAGCCGCTGGAGCCCAGCCTCATCCCCAAGCTCATGAGCTTCCTGAAGCTGGAGAAGGGCAAGTTTAGCATGGTGCTGCTGAAGAAGACGCTGCAGGTGGAGGAGCGCTATCCTTACCCGGTCAGGCTGGAGGCCATGTACGAGGTTATCGACCAGGGCCCTGTACGCCGCATAGAGAAGATAAGGCAGAAGGGTTTTGTCCAAAAATGCAAGGCGTCTGGCGTCGAGGGCCAGGTGGTGGAGGAGGGGAACGAGGGGCACGGAGGAACAAGCAGGCCCAGCCCAGACGGAGAGAAGAGGAAAGAAGACCCAAGGAGAGCACACATCCCTCCAACCAGAGACACACGAGTCAAGGTGATGCGGAAACCTGCAGTCGCCAGCGCCACCGCCGCCGCGCCTCTGCCACCTGCTCCCACGCGCAGGGCCACCACCCTGTCCCCGGCTCCAGCCACAACAGCCACTCGGGTCACACCCCGGGTGGGAACAGTAGCAGCAAGGCCCACAACCACCACGCCCTTCCCCACCACGCAGAGGCCCTGGACCTCCCGTGCGCACACCCCCTCGGCCCCCCACAGGTCTCCTGCCACGTCCGAGGCAACCACGGCCAGGGCAACCTCCGTCTCGGAACATCTCTACCCTCCAACCAAGAAAGAACAGCAGAGGGAGAGGCCTCAGGGCCCCAGGAGGCCTGGCAAGACCACCAGCTTTGAGAGCCTCACAGCTGCGCCGCCCACCGCCACCTCAGAGCCCAGCTCCAGGGCTGCAGATCCTGGCCGTTTCCGGGACAACCACACGGACAGGCGGGAGCATGGCCACCAGGACCCAAGCGTGGTGCCAGGGCCTCACAAGCCAGCAAAGGGGAAACCTCCCAAAAAGAAAACCCAGGACAAAATCCTTAGCAATGAGTATGAGGACAAGTCTGACCTCGGCCGGTCCACCGCCTCTCAGCTGGAGGAGGACCTGCAGGGGGGCAGGATTCCTCCCCCCAACGCCAAGGACTCCAAAAAGCATGACAAGCTTGAGAAACCTGAGAAGGACAAGAAAAAAAAGATAAAGAATGAGAAAGCAGACAAGCTGCTCAAGAGCGAAAAATCCATGAAGAAGGCTGAGAAAAAGAGCAAGCAGGAGAAAGAGAAGAACAAGAAGAAGAAAGGGGGCAAGAGTGAGCAGGGGGGCTACCCCAATCCCAGCCCCAAGCAGCCCCCGCAGAGTCCCCAGAAGTCAGCCGCTGACCTGCTGGGGTCCTTCGAAGGCAAGCGAAGGCTCCTGGTAAGTAATCTTCTCCTTGGCATTGACCTGTGGGTTGAACCCTGGCAGGTTTGCAGCTTGTTTTGTAAAACAGATTTGCTAGAGACCAGACAGTGGCTGAACCTGTCAGGGAGAGAAGCCAGCCAGGTCAGCAGTTCCAGTCCATGTGGCTGTTCAAGGAACCTCTCTATAGCACTCCTGACCCCGGGGGTGCAGAGCCCACAGCTTCAGACCTCAGCATGAGCCCAGGCGAAGCACCTGTGGCAGCCTGCCCCACACCTGTCAGCACACCACACCCACTCATACTGCCATCTTCGAGGACTTGGGTTGCTTTGATCAAATTCAAAGGATAAAAGAATGAAAGCGTTTCTAACTTGGAATGTATTAACTATAGCCCATAAATTTAGGAACCATAACATGTGTCTGGGGAAATTGCAGTGTTCCACTTCTCTGTAAAGGTTTGTTTTTATTTATTTGAAAGTCAGAGTTACACAGAGAGAGAGTGAGGGAGAGAGACAGAGAGACCTTCCATTTTCTGATTCACTCCCCCCAAATAGCTGCAATGGCCAGAACTGGGCTGGTCCAAAAGCCAAGAGCCCGGAGTTTCTTCTGGGTTTCCCACATGGGTGCAGGAATACAAAGGATGTATTTGGCATCCTCTGGTACTTTACCAGGAACATGAGTAGGAAACTCGATTTAAAGAAAACTGGGGCAACTGGAACTTGAACCAGCACCCATGTGGGATGCCAGCATTACTTGCCAGCTTTACTTGCTAACGTCACTGCACCAGCCTCTCCAATTTCCTCTTGAGTGAAGCGTATAGCAATACGTAAGGCCATATAGAGGAAAGTCGGATAGCCTCACTAGGAAGTGGGTGTGATTGGGATGGAGAGAGGTCTTTATTGATGTGATTCCAAATATTTATAAAACCAGCTCCTAGAAATCTCTCTAGACTGCCTCCCCCATCAGCACCCAACTACAATAGCAACCAGAGGGATGGAGTAGGAGGAACTAGGTTAGCTACTCTGATTCCAATAGCCTGTATGTATCTGAGTTTGGAACCCAGACTGCGTAAAATGAGTTTGTGGGTGTGTTGGGATGTCAAATAAGAAATACGATCCTGCTTCCACTTCACCTGTCATTCTCAGAGCCAGATACAAATTCATCTCATAAATCTGTCTTGTGACCATTCCTTGCTACAACTCAAAATCCTGTTAGACCTAAGAGGGGCTTTGCCTAGAAATAAGCTCTCTCTAAATGGAAGGGGCAGATATCATCCACCAGCTGAAGAGGCTTCTTGTCCTCTCTGTGTCTCTTCTAAGAGTTCTATCATTGTCTTCTTGATGCTATCATTTTACTTGAGATTATCAAGGAGGAAAACAGCAGGCTGCAATGAATAGCAGGTGGCTACACTAATGTTAGGCAATGTGCATCAGGGAGCATTTCCTCAGATCCCTGGATGACGGAATCGGCTCGTGCCTGGAGGACAGCGTCCATCCCACAGGAGACACAAGGTGCCTCCATCCTCATCTTGCACTCCAGGAAGGAATGCCAGGAGGATTAGGCATTCCTTCCTAAAGGGTCTTTCCATTCTTCCACCTAACCTGAGTTTGGACTGATCCGTCATCTTGGCAGAGGGACTCTGGCACCCATTTATCTTAACTGGTTTCAAAAAGTTTGCAGGTGCATCTGAAATGTTACTCACTTTTCTTTGAGGTGCTTATCTTGGGTGGGACGGGCTTCCAAATCTCTTAGCTAATTCCAGAAGAGGAACTATGGGTTAGGAGAAACCTAAAGTCTAGTTAGTTCTAAAAATGTGTTATGTGTGTCTTGTTAGGAACTTTTTGTGTATTGTTGTATTTATTTAACTATATTAACTTAGGTTGTCTGGGCTGTCTGTTAGAGGACTTCAACAGTTGTTCAGAGAGCCCCAGAGTTCATACATTCAAGTGGAAATGTTCCAATGAAAACCAACAGAATCACTGGGGGGTGGAGTTCTGCCTTGTACTGTTAGAGGGCCTTCGGGACAAATCGCTCTCTTTTGCGCAAAGGACAACATGGTTGGTATACTCCACAGCTCTCCTCCCGAGAACTTGCAGTTTGGTCCATCCCAGAAAAGCACATGGCCCGACTCTGTTCAGCAGACAGGAATACAAAGCACTTCAGATGATCAGTTTATAACTAGGGAGAGATAACCCTGGGAATAATGATAGGATCATCCTTGTCCAGTCACCTAGCAAATACTTCCATTGCCACTGGTAAGGTAAAGAAAGTTTTCCTCCTGTGCCCCAAGTACTAGTCATGCCCTTCGTTTCTCCCTCCTTTTCCACTCCCTTAGTCAGGGATCTGAAAGCCCAGCTGGATGTTTTCTGCAGTTCACAGAATCCCTGGTCATAAATTTCTAGCAAATGAAACTCTAACTAATGACAGCTTGTGCTGATGTCATGCGAGGCAAAACAGAAACCAGCTGGAACTCTGCTTGACCACATTGCTTCTTTGGGGCTAGTGGGAGAAGTAGGTTTGTTATTAGAAAGAAGATATATCAAAAGAAGGCTGTTCAGTTTTTCAGTCCTACGTGTGTTCAATTGATGATCATGTCACAGGTATGTTTTTCAAAGATCTAATGACGTGGACAGCAAGAATGGATTAGAAAAGACAAAATAAACTAAACATGATACCAAAATGAAAGATGAAAAGAAAAGAAAGTTTCATCAGATGGAGAAGAGGCTAATGTTTCTGGATCAAAGATGCTGATGTCTTTAATAGTTCTCCATTCGTTTTCCCCATCGAGCTCAGCTAATGTTATGCAGGAAGCTAAGTGACTCAACTGATATTTGTTAAGGTTTGGCACTCTCAAGTTGCTCAAGTATGGCTAAGAATATTTACCATTAAGTGGCCTGAACTTAATCCAGTTTGCTCAAACTCAAAGCACATTTACATTCCAAGAAATTATGCAGGACTTTCTGCTAATTTTTCCAGCTTTTCAGTGATCTGATATCTGCATAAAACTTATTGGAAACCCCCAGTGCTTTGCATTTATCTGTTCTATTCTTTTTTTTTAAGATTTTATTTTATTTTTATTGGAAAGGCGGATATGCAGAGAGGAGAGACAGAGAGGAAGATCTTCCGTCCAATGATTCACTCCCCAAGTGAGCGCAACGGCCGATGCTATGCCGATCCCGAAGCCAGGAGACAGGAACTTCTTCTGGGTATCCCACGTGGGTGCAGGGTCCCAAAGCCTTGGGCCGTCCTTGACTGCCTTCCCTGGCCACAAGCAGGGAGCTGGATAGGAAGTGGGGCTGCCGGGATTAGAACCGGCACCCATATGGGATCCCGGGCGTGCAAGGTGAGGACCTTAACCACTGCGCCATCGCACCGGACCCTACCTGTTCTATTCTTTAGGCATAAAAATAACATTGCTTTACAATTATTAAGAGAAACTCTGACAGCAGTGGTAGAACCTGTGGTTGGATGGATGGCATCCTGGAGATAGTCAATGATGCTTCAGGTGGAGTCATGCATCCAATTCTTAAGCCAGGGTTTGATTCTTCTATCCTCTTGCTGCTCAACCTTTTGGCCGAGAAAGGTGTATTCTGCAAGGTGCTCTGCTGAGACTATGTTGTTTGATTGTCATCACAATCCCACAAGGAATGATTTTTTAACTCCACTTTGCAGATAAGAAAACAGAATTTGATAGAAGTTAACAAGTTATCAAGATATATACTTAACATGTGGCAAAGCCAGAATCAGGACTTAAGTATGTTTGATTTTAAATCCTAAGCTTAAGCTACATCCCCATCCTGTCTTCCTGTGGATATGAACTTCCTGTGGCATACAGTAGAGATACTGAAGAATTATTCTGTCAGTTATTAAATATGAGCACTGAAAAATTCACATTGAACCTCAAATTACCAAACTAGGTGTAAGATATAGTAACTGTAAACGTTCTCCTGTAAGTATAAAAGTAGAGTTTCTACATGTAATATCCAGCTAGTTCTGTGTACCTCAGCCAACCAAAAATCAAAGACTGCAGTCCATCTTAACCTGACTCTTTACACTGTATAGTTCCATATTGGGATTGACCATCATGAGTATAGATAAGCTCTTTATCAACAAAACATTGAACTATGGGGAGTACTGTTGACGAGCCATTGTTTTGTGCTATGAGATCTACCTGCTTGTCATTAGCAAGGGACTGCAGCATGCTGAATCACAAAAATTCCATCACAAGTTTAAGCATTGTTTCATGACTGAGTCATCCATAATTCAAATGATTGAATATTTTCAGCCTTCCTTCAAAAACCTAGATATTGTCACAACAACCTACTTACTTATTTTTAGTTTTAGAAAAGGATTTAGGAGCCTGGTGGTAGAACCTGGGTTGGTAACCTGGTTCCAGTCCCAGTCCTGGCCCCTGACTCTAGCTTCTTATTGAATGGTATCTTGGAAGGCAGCAGATGATGCTGTTAAGTAACTGAGTTCCTGCCACAAATCTGGGAGACCTGGATTCAGTTACCAGCTCCTGACTCCAGACCAGTTCAATTCCTGGATGGTTCAGAAATCTGAGGAGTGGATCAATGGATGGAAGTGCTCTCTGTCTGGCAGCATGTCTGTAGATTTGACCTTCTGTATCTCAAATAACTAATTTTTAAAAAAGGAAGAAAAAGTAAAAACTTTTGGTTCACTAATGCAGACTACTAGCTTGAAAGTTGCTTCTCAGAATCCTGTAAGGATCTACTGAGCTTTAAAACATCTTCCCCCAGCATCTTCCCATTCTTGTTGCTCCCTTTCTTTATGTAAACAGGTTTCCCCATCCTCTGAGGTTCACTGAGGCAACACAGCGGTTGGAACAAACACAGAAAAAGAAGCACAACACAATTCTAAATTCATGACACATATGCTGATGTATTGCCACAAATCTGGAAAGAGGCCAACTGCCAGTGACATTCTCTGAGGAGTTAGGACTCTGTTTTTAGGAAGGATATGGCTTCTGTGTTAAACACTGTTTGAAATCTTGCCAAACAGGAAAATGGATTTGAGGCAGATGCTAATGCAATCAAGTCTGTGAAACATGTTTAGATGATCAGCTATCTCAGTTGTTCCTCCTGCAAACTTGAAGCGTGGACTCAGCGTAAGGGAGAGTCTGTACCAACTGGTTTGTGTGTTTATCTAGACATTCCTGACCAGAAAGCCCCTGTTCCTGAGCTCTTCCTCTCTCCCTTGGCTGGAGGGATCTGTGCACTTGAAAGACATAGCCCAGCTGACCTAGATGTTCATACCACCGCAGCACAGTCACGGAGTCTGAGGCTGTGCCTTGAGGAATTCACACTGTAGTTGGGGAGGTGGGACACCAAAGGGAAGCTAACAGAAAGTGAATCAAATGCATAATTCCAAGTGGGCAGTGCAGACAAGAATAACATAGAAGGAGTGATCAGTGTGGGCTAGCGAAGATTTCATGGAGCATCGATGCTGCACTTGGAGACTCAGATTCAGATAAGATGGGGGCAGGTGAGGCAGGTGGGTGTGAGGCACAGCAAGGAATGTGAGTGAGCTATTCAGAAACAGGATGTGTCTGTGTGCTGGGGAACACAGGTTCTATTGCAGACATACTCTCCTATTTCCTTCCTTCTATTCTTTCTATCCCCCTCCCATCCTTCCCCCGAATTCTTACGATTTCATGAGATTAACAGGGACTTGTTTCAGTCAGAGTGATCACACTGAGGTTTGAATGGTTAACTGGCTTGCCTAGGGCCATATGCCAGGCAGGGGTTGAACTAGGACAAAAATTCCAGCCCTCCGACTTTGCCTGGGATCACCCTCATCTCTGCCACTTTGCCCGAGAATCATCCCATTTCACAATTCTGAGTGCTTTGGCTCTGGGTGCTGAGGTCATGTAAGGGAGAAATCAGAAGAAGCTTCCTAAGAGAGAGCCTGGGGCCAGATCTTAGAGGGCCAGCAGCCAGAAAATGAGTCAGGCAGCATGAATGTCATTTCTCTGATAGGTTGAGGCATCTTTGGGCTGACTCCGAGGTGAAAACAAACACCAGAGATTTCTATTTATTTAAGTGCTTAAGGCTGTTGTATGTGAAGCTGTGTGGGAGAAGTTGCCACACAGGGAGGATCAGGTTCTGTTTGACTATTGTTTGAAATTCTTAATTATACACAAAGGGGAGGAGAAGATTAGAGGAGGCTTTAAGAACTCATAAAATCCTATCATACCCTGTCTGGGCATGGATTTCAAAGATTCATAGCAAATTATGAGACCAGAGAAATGGAGTTGATGCATAGGCTTGAAGGGCCACAGGCAGGTACTTGTTAATATCTGTTTCTGGGCAGCTGTGTCTTACCTTTGCTTTTACTGTTTTGTATATTTGCTACTAATTTTATTTATTTTAAAATCATGTGTTTATGAACAAAGAACAGCTAGAAAGTAAAACCTGAAATAGAATGCCTTAAAATATAACTCCAAGATCTGGGCTAACCATCAAAACCCGAAGAAATATTTTTAAAACCCATGTAGCTAACTAAAAACCAACCAGCCAAACTCACCACCATGGCATGTTTTTATTGCCATCTTAAATCTTTTCAAGGCTAAGTGTGAATCAATGAAATAATTTGGAAAATTTTATTATTTTTTCCCTTTGGGAAAACATGTTTTGAAAACAAACATTTCCTATTCACCATGCCCATCTGAACAGGCAAATAAATGCAAAAATCAAAAATAAATTAGACCATGTCTATTTAAAATAAATAATAATGTGAAAGAGTAACAAAGTGTTTTTAAAAACCCACTTCATTCCAGAAAAACTTTTATTAACATTCTATTCAAGAGCTGTTGAACACATTTTCAGGTCCTTGAGGGAGAGTATTTTGTCAATCATTGAGAATTCATAGAAGGGAAAGCCTGTAGGCAGAGAAAAATAAACTGTAGGATCAAGCTTGGACCTGATTTCTTAAACATTTGGGAATAAAATATTTATAAGAGGTTAACAGCAAGGTGACTTTCCCTCTAAAAAAAAATGCCAGGCTAATAGTCACAAACTTGAAAAGTAAAATATAAGTTTAAATGTGTAGTTAGGAAAGTGGTTAATAAATTTGGATGTGGTCAGGTGCAAGAAATTGCATACAAAAAAGTGATACACAGAGCCTTGCTTTGGACTCAGGGATTAGTCTACAAGGCACTAGACTCCATACATCAGCTTGGTGATCCGATTGGGGTTGAGAAGATTAAGATAGACCTCACCATCATTAGAACAAAATTTCATATTCTCCCACCTACAGAGTGAATAGCACCATGCCCTCCACCCCTCACTCAATGGAGTGTAGTACACAATTCTGGCTGGTTTCAGATCAGAAAAATCCAGTGAAGCTAGAGAAAATTCAGAAAAGGACAGCCAAACTAAGGTAGTAAAGAAGCATTTATATTGGACTAGACGAAAAGCATGGAGCCATTCTCAAAGGGAATTTAAGAGCACCTCTAAAAACTGTAGCATCTTTATGTTAGCCAAGATAACATGATATACTTCCTCATATGGCTGGTGCCTAATGTATCTCAACTGCACTTTGTCTTTTTTTTTAAGATTTATTTATTTATTTATTGTTACAAAGTCAGATATACAGAGAGGAGAACAGACAGAGAGGAAGATCTTCCGTCTGATGATTCACTCCCCAAGTGGCCACAATGGCTGGGGTTGAGCCAACCTGAACACAGGAGCCCAGAGTTTCTTCGAGGTCTCCCACATGGGTGCAGGATTCCAAGGTTTTGGACTATTCTCTGCTTCTTTCCCAAGGCACAGGCAGGAAGCTGGATATGAAGTAGAGCTGCTGGGATTTGAGCCGACGCTCATATGGGATCCCGGCACGTTCAAGGAGAGGACTTTAGCCACTAGACCACATGCCAGGCCCTGCACTTTGTTTTTTATCCCACCAGAAATCAGAGATTACAAAGGGAGGATTTAAAGAAAGGGTAGTAGATGAAAAACTCCAGGTCTAAACTAAACAGAATGCTAAACTAAGTACAAATTATACAGTTGAAGGGTTTCAACGGTCTGCCAGGAGCTCTACAGAGGCCTAATGGGACAATGAATATCTTATATATGTGACAAATCATTGCTCAAAAGATCCTGATAAAAACTGTCTTCGTGGTTACCGAGTAAAAGGTCTAAGTAAGTCACAGAACAGTCCTAGAGGTCAAGTCCTGGGCTGGAGATACTTTCTCAACTCCACCGAGTGTGAAATGAAGTCAGTAATTGCTGAATTAACTGATGCCTGGTTAGCCAATTAAGATAATGGGGGTCAAAATGAGTGAAGAGATTAACAGTGTTTAAAACAATGATTACATGCCAAGTATTTATGCAATACTCATAAGAGCCTTGCAAAATTAAGTGTTCCTGCACAAAGTTCACAAGTGGGAAAATTAAGACACAGAGAAACTGGTAGAAAATTCTAAGCTGTATGGAGCATGAGAAGAAATGCAGGGGTGGGAGTGGGAGCACTTTCCAGATGGCCTTTTTTTTTTGTCCCATTTGTGCAACACAGTAATTGGTAGTTCATGTGTTAGTCACTGCCAGCTGTCTGTTCTAAATCTCTTTGGACTCTACCTCAATATGAAATTAAGACTGTAACATGTGTTTCTCTTCCCTGACCCCCAGCTGATCACTGCTCCCAAGGCAGAGAACAACATGTATGTCCAACAGCGTGATGAATACTTGGAAAGTTTCTGCAAGATGGCCACCAGAAAAATCTCCGTGATCACCATTTTCGGTCCTGTCAGCAACAGCACCATGAAAATCGACCACTTCCAGCTAGGTTCTGTTCTAACTTTCAATTATATTAGTATTTTTCTCATATGAAAAAATGGAATGAATGTTTCTGGGAGGGTCACTGGAAAATCAAAAGGAACATTCTAGTGCCTAGAGGGATGTAGTAACGCAGGTCTGTTGCCTATGTACTTGCACAGCCATACCAAGATGGCTCTGGTTTTAGGATTTTTAGCACTTGGCTTACAAGGTCATTGGGTAGAGAAAAATGAAGTTGAACATGGGGTCTTCAAAACATTCGTGGAAAAAAAAAGAATTAATTTTATTTCAAAAATTTCAAAATCCAGGACTAGTTTTTTTCCATAGTATGTGTTTTCCATGAGCTTTCTGGAGAGTTTTCGTACAGCAGAGTTCAACCAGGAAAGTAGTCAAACACTTTCTTCTGGGTCTTGAGTCTTTCTGTCTGAGCAATAGCATCGGGTCATCCTCCAGATTTCATGCTGCAAGTGACTCAGCACAGCTGGGGACCTGCCAGCCTTGAAAGTACTTGGCTTTGTCCAGACTGAGTAGGGAATTAACTGAGAGAGGCTGTTGGGTTAAATGAAAAGTCACTGAAACTCTGAACTGAACTGCACCCAAGTCCTTTCAGAGAGCAGAGGAATGTGGCTGAATGTAGAGTTTTCACAATTTGTCATATTATTGGTGCATGTGGAACTCATGAGGCACACCGCTCAACGATGGGCAGTTGAGATCTCACTTGTTGCAGTTCTTATGGGAATGATGCAAGGCTTACTGGGATTAGTCAAGAAGCTCCAAGTCTGACCCACCCAGGTTTTCTTTCTTTCATTTTTTGAAATAATTATTGCATCTCTAGGGCTTTATACCTTAAAAACATTTCTTTTTATGCCTTTTCTACTCTTGCTGCTGTTTTTATATAATGAAACTCCTTCAGTTTAATCCTTCATTTTCCCATTCTGCATATTTTTTCGTAAAATGTATTTCATCAGAAAAACGTCTGAAAGAATGTAAAAGTATTTGCCATTCACACTTAAGTTTAATACATATAACACATTATTTCAGATACAATTAAACCATCATCATTAGGCCATGATGATGTCAACTCCATTTGAATGTGATTTGGCTTTTTTTTAAAGATTCATTTTATTTTCATTACAAAGTCAGATATACAGAGAGGAGGTGAGACAGAGATGAACATCTTCCGTCCGATGATTTACTCCCTAAGTGAGCGCAACGGCCTGTATCATGCCTATCCAAAGCCAGGAGCCAGGAGCCAGGAGCTCTTCCGGGTCTCCCACACGGGTGCAGGGTCCCAAAGCATTGAGCCATCCTCGACTGCTTTCCCAGGCCACAAGCAGGGAGCTGGATGGGAAGTGGAGCTGCCGGGATTAGAACCAGTGCCCATATGGGATCCTGGTGCATTCAAGGTGAGGACTTTAACTCCTAGGCCACAGTGCTGGGCCCATGATTTGGCTTTTTAAATATTTTTCTTATTGTGGAAAAGCACTTAACAGAAAATGTACTTCCTAAACAAATCCATAAATACAAAATACTGTATTTTTAATTATAGGCACACTGCTGTATAACAGGCCCTAAGAATGTAGGCAGGTATAAATTTTCAATTTTTTTATTATCTATATTTGTTAGCTTACTTTCTCTTAAGTGGACTAGAAAGAAAAAATAGATAGTCTTCTTTCCAGGGTCCCTTCATACGTCATCATGGTTTGATGGTTGGCTTGTGGACATTTATCTCTGCGTTGTGTATATGTTTGAGAGAGAGAACAACAAAAATGTGCTCTTAATCAAAGCAATAGCAATGATAACCATCCAAACAAATGACACAAGTTTTGGAGGCACACAAATTCAAATTCAGAGTCTCAACTTATTTGATGTACAACTTTGGACAATTTAATACTTAATGTTTTTAGTCCAGAAGTTAATCACCTCTTCAAAGCAAGATCAACTTTAAAGGCAAACATAAAATTCTTGACAACTGTAATGACGTCATCAACTCATTGCATAAGGCTCAAACTAAGAAGGGAAAATTTGAGCATCAACAGAAAAAAGGAAAGTGCACAAAACCATCATGATCAAACTGCTGCCTCTGTGCTGGAAGTATGTTAGCTGGAATACCTGGGGCTTCCCTGCAGGGGAACCCTCCCTAGGCAAGTGCTTTCTCAGAGCCCACCATCAGGGAGTCTGAGTGAGTCAAGTGGTTACTTATTTCATGTAGTAAAACATTGAAGGATACAACATTCTTTTTAAATTAAATGTATTTAATTATGTTATGATACAGTTGCACAGGCTTTCAGATTTGTCTTACCCCTTCTCAAACCCTCTTCCTCTTGCTCTTTTACACTTTATCATTACAATAGTATAGTCCTTCATAAACAGTCGTAAGTTCATCATTCTGCTATTTAAGTGTATTCTGATATTGTAGATATAAGCGATGACAGAGAGTCCAGCATCCTATTGTCAAGATATATTTAACAATTTCATTGGGAATCCATCTTTGATTTGGAAGTAGAGATGCATACTGCATTGTATCACAACTGGATATCATGGTTTGCTTCTATTACAATTACTATACAAATTACTATACTTTTCTCCTTAAATGAAAAGCCATAAAATGAAATTAACAACAGGAAGAAAAATAGAAAATTTACAACACATGCTACTGAATGACGAATGTGTTGCTGAAGAAATGAAAAAGAAAATCAAAAGCCTTCATGAAGTAGGTGATGCTACTGTGTGACCTATGAGCCAATGAGGAAATTAATAATAAAAACCCCAAACTTTTCTGAGTGAATGAAAATAAATACAAAACTGCCCAAACCCTGAAATGTATCACAAGCAGTTCTGAAAGAACTACCGAGCACAAATTTTGCATGAAGTTTGCCTTACATTAGAATATATGATATTTGTCCTTTGGAGATTGATTTGTTTCACTGAGCATAATGGTCTCTAGATGGAACCATTTCATTGCAAATGGTAGAATTTCCTTCTTTTTAATGGCTGAGCAATATTCCATGGAGTAAATGTATCAGTTTCTTTATCCACTCCTCTGTTGATGGGCATCTTGGCTATTTCCATGCCTTTGTTATTATGCTGCTGTAAATATAGGGTTACAGATCCCTTTCTCATACGCAGATTTTATTTCCTTTGGATATATTCCTAGAAGGGGGATAACTGGATCATATGGTGATTTTTAGTTCTCTTAGCAGTCTCCATACTGACTTCCATAGTGGTTGCACTAGCCTATAGCCTATACTATCATCAACAGTTAAGGAGGATGCCTTTCTCCCCACATCCACACCAGAAAGTGTTTAGTAGAGTTCTGAATGTAGGTCAATCTCATTGGAGTTATGTGGAACCTCAACTTGGTTTTCGTTTTTATTTCCCTGATAGTTAAGGAGCCTGAACATTTTTCATATGTCTATTAACCATTTAAATTTGTTCTTTTGAGAAGTACTCATTTTCTTTGCCCATTTCTTCACAAGGTTGTTTGTATTCTATCGCTGAATTTCTGCTCTTTGCAAACCCTGGATATTAGTCACTTATAGGTTGTATATTGTGCAAATACTTTCTTTCATTCTATTGGTTGTTTCTTCACTTTGTTGATCATCTCTTTGCTGTACAGAAGCTTCTCAGCTTGATGTAGTGTCATGTTTATTTTGGCTTTGACTGCCTGTGCTTTTGGTGAATTTTTTAAGAAGTCTTTTTCCAATTCTTACATCCTGGAGAGTGCTTCCTATGTTTTCCTTTAATAGTTTAATGGTTTCTGATGGCAAATGTAGGTCCTTGATCCATTTAGAGCTGATTTTTGTATAAGGTGACAGGTGTGGAAATTGCTTCTTACTTTTGCAGACTGCTACCCAATTGTCCTATCAGCATTTATTGAAGAGGCCAGACCTTTCATCTGGATTATTATTGATTCTCTTGTCAAAGATTAGTTGGCTATACATGTGTGGACTCACTTCTGGACTTTTTTCTTTTCCATTGATATTCTTTTCTGTTTCTGCACCATCACCAAACTGTTTTAATCACCACTGCCTTGTAGTGTGTCTTGAGGTCTGGAATTGTGATTCCTCCAGCTTGAATTCTATCCTTCAGGATAGCTTTGGCTCTTTACGGTCTTTTGTGTTTCCAGACGAACTTTTGTAGAATCTTTTCTGTTTCTGAGAAGAATGTTGTTGGGATTTTGATTGGGATCACATTGAATTGGTATATTACTTTTGGTATATGAACATTTTGATGATGTTGGTAAATTGTAGCAAACTTTGTTGCTAAACTAAATTGAAGTGCTAAAGTATACTACTGCACATTCCTGAAACTGAGTATGAGCATGTATGGGCATAGATTCAGGAAATAACACTGCAGTTTATCTATGCTGTATTGTAAGTAGAAAATGCAGAATTGTAAGTTAAACTATTTGTAAAACTGGTACATAAAGAAAAAGAATACAAGATATTTGGCTCAAGAAGGTTTTTAGTAATTTGTTCTGGACAGAAAGGCATAAAGAAGATCAGTCAAAAAGCAGAGGTGATAACGTTGATGGAGGTGCAGTAAGGAGAGTGGAAGTTTTAGTTTTTTGCTTACAGACTCCTTAAGTTAGGTGTCCATTGGTGAATATCTAAAGTAACTTTGCAACTGAGATAATCTGATCATTTCACAGGTCATGGTGAAAATTAAATAAGAAAAATAGGTAATAGGCAATATTGATTGTGGTCATCATTATCACCATCTTCTGATCTGACAGTCTTTAATTGATTAATGACCTGTCACAGTTATCACCAAACAGTTAATTAAAGAATTAGTTGTCTGTTAATTTATATATATTTTTTATTGCATTTCATTTTATAACAACATTTTATAGGCTCTGATGTTCCCCCATCTCTTCTCCGTGCCCTCCCCCCATGGTGGATTGCTCCACCTTATTGCAATATTACAGTTCAAATCTAGTCTTGTTTCTTTCATTGCAAGCATGTGCCTTGCATAGAGTCCAGTACCTTATTGCCCAGCTGAATTCAA